ATTTCGACCAGGTCGCGGTTGTATTGATCAAATCTTCACCCTGCGTCAAGTTCCCGAGCTACGCTATAAACACCGTCGATCAACGGTTGTTCCTTGACCTTAGAAGGAGCCTTCGACTCAGTTGACCGTGAATCCCTCATGGATTCGCTACTTCGTAAAAGAATGCCACTTCTGGTAACGTAAGGGTCTACTGAGAGCTAAGTAGGTTGTTCGTCAGGGGTACCCTCTTTCACTATTTCTGTTCAATTTCGTCATAGACGAAATGTTAGAGAACACACTAAGTGGTCTCCATAATGTAGGTATTGAATGGTCAGCTGGAGAAAAACTGTGCGATTTAGAGTACGCTGACAACATCGCCTGCCTGTTCGAACTTGTGTAGGATACACAGAGAGCACCATACAGATTAGCGAGTTCTTTCGCTCCGTTCGGTATGCACTTTACACCTTCGAAGTGCAAAGTAATACTGCAAGACTGGGTGTTGCCGAGTTCCGTTCTGAACCTATATGGTCAGGAATTATCTGTAATTAACTGCTTCTCGTACTTGGGTAGGTGCGTGACCAACGACGGTAGCGCATCAAAGGAGATACCGGCCCGTATTTCTAAGGCTCGAGCAGCGTACGCAGGACTTAAACACCCGTGGCGATTTATGATGTTTCACTTTTTATTACACATTTTTTGAGTGAGATGAACAGCACACGGGCTAAACCCCAAAATCACGAGGACCTGTTCATTGATGGAATCCGGTAACCTAAGCCCTTGGACTCGGAGTGGCGAACCAAATAAGGCCCCGATAGGTTAGGCGTGGTATTAAACCGGACGACAGCAAAGCTATCCACCACCAAAGTTGGGTGGAGGTGGTGGGGCTCAAAATTCGAACCATAGAGTCTGAAGCATTGAATTTGAAAAGTCGCGTAGGCTGCGTCACTGTTGTGCCTTACAGTTGTGAGATCTGGAATTTGTGGGTAGAAGACATCCGTCGCCAAGTGGTTCTGGACAATCGGTGCTTATGCAGTCTGGCCCAGGTGGGATGGAGTCAACAGGTTGGTAAGTAAGTCGTCGGGTGTTTGGGAATGCATCGAACAAGAACTCGCTATCAAATCGAGTTCAGCTCAATAGACCCCGTTGGTTGGGACGCGTTTTGCGTATGTCCAACGATCGCCTACCGCACCGCGTCTTAGTTGCAGCAGCTGTTGTGAACTGCAGAAAACCACGTGGCCCTCAGACGACGCGGAGACAAGGCATGAACTAATACACAGAACGATTAAGTAAAGTAGGTGTGTCGTCTTTCGGGTTGAGGTCCAAAAGACTCCGTAACTAGATGGTTGGAGGCACACTGAAGGTCATTGCAGCAAACCGACAGCAGTGGTGATCTTGCTGTCACTTCTTATCAGACCAGAATGCTTGAAATAGTGTGCATAGTGTGTTCTCTATGTTAACCATAGAGGTTCGCTTTCTTTTCCCGTCCCTAAAAATAGACCCAATCTCCATGGTGCTTACACATCATCACTGACCTTGGATGCATTATTCAGCGATCTCGC